CAATTATACTTCTTACTTCTTCCTCCTCCTTCCTTCTTCTTCTACACTCCTGTGTATAAAAAACATTGTTGGGACCTATAAATACTTGTATATATTCCTAGACAATAGTAAATGACCAAGGCAAGTGTAAGTGTCCACCTGTCAATGTGTTTGTGACAATCTGTGTACAATTTCAGTACCTAATATAGTGGACCCCCGGTTAACGATATTTTTTCACTCCAGAAGTATGTTCAGGTGCCAGTACTGACCGAATTTGTTCCCATAAGGAATATTGTGAAGTAGATTAGTCCATTTCAGACCCCCAAACATACACGTACAAACGCACTTACATAAATACACTTACATAATTGGTCGCATTCGGAGGTGATCGTTATGCGGGGGTCCACTGTATTAGTTTCAGAACAAAAATTTGTTATGAAATGCCAAGAACTACAATAAATTATCATTATCAGAACATAAAAATTATATAAAATAATACAGAAACGAGAAAAATGGTATATCGGCAACACTTCCTCAAGTGGCAGGCCTCAATGTTGCAGTCAGGTGAGCATTAAGTGCCAACTTTGCAGCCTCATATCTCAGTAAGTACTGACCCTAATTTTTTTTATTTTAATCCTATAACACATAGAAAATTTTTTCTCTATTTCAATGAAAAAAAAAAAAAAAAAATTATATTTTTCAAATATTCAGGGCACTTGGGGAGAGAACGTATAATGTGTATACGTTTGGACCGTTTATGGGTTAAGTGCTTTTATAAGCAATTAGGAATATCTGCAATACTACACAAATAATCCGTACATAGAAGAGAGGAGCTTACGTCATAAGCTCCTCTCTTGTGTGTGCGGGTTATTTGTGTATCGTTCCAGTCACGGTATTGTGCCTTTTTTTGTTATCTGCAACACTGCTTGAAATGTCTACTGCATCATCCTTTATATGTGATATTACAGTACAGTAGTTTTAAACACACACAATAATTGCCAATGGAATTTAACTTACATGACACAAACTTTTTCATTTTTTTGCTCCATATAACCCCTTACCAATATATATTCACATTCTCACATCATTTCCATATTCTCAGTATGTTTCTACTATTGTAAAGAAAGTACACCTACCATCCGATTTACGACCTGCTCGACTTGCAACCACTCGACTTACGACCGTGTTTTTTATGCCAAATTTCTGGGAAATAAACAACTATCTGTATTTGTGTTGTACACAGTGTTTATCCTAAACCTTACAGCATAAAATACAGTACTAACAGCATAAAAAGTGAAGTAAAACATGAAATACCAAAATAAAACATAAAATAAAGTCATTACAAAAGTGTGATTGTTGATATTCAGTAGTAAAGTTCGACTTACGACCATTTCGACTTATGACCGGTTTCTCGGAACCGAACTCGGTCGTACGTCGGATGGTAGGTGTATACAGAGCAAGTATGTATTTATTCTGATACCATTCTGCTCAATGTTGAGCTGCATCAAGGCATGACTTAATAAAGCTCAACACTGAGCAGGACATTCAGGATATACAGACTTGCTCTGCAAACTCACTATACCATACTGGTTGGCATCATTTGCCAGTCGAACCACTTCATAGTTTTGTTACCTTTATAAAACTCTCCTCTTCACATTCAGGTTTCCTCCTATACTAATGCAAAAGCATTCCTAGCTCCAACCAACCCACCAGAAGTCTTGCTCATCATCAACACCCTTAAAAACAAGGTAGGAGACACAAAAACTTGCTTGCTTTTATGTACAAAAAAGCTTCTCAAGTATTGTCACCAATTATTGCAACACTCTTTAACAAATCCATTGAATCATCTACCTTCCCAACAATCCTCAAAATAGCAAGGGTCACTCTGATCCATAAACGAGGTGACCAAGCTGACTTGAATAACTATAGACCAATATCTAACTAACCACTGCTCTCTAAAATCTTTGAAAAATTAATTCATAGATGGATCTATTCCTACCTCATCTCACATAACATATTTAACCCTTGTCAGTTTGGATTCAGGAATAATAAAAGCACAAATGATGCTATCATACACATGCTAGAACTAATATACACCACACTCGAAAAGAAAGAAGTCCCGCTAGGAATTTTCATTGATATACGTAAAGCTTTTGATAGTCAATGAACTGCTGTACTCTAAATTAACGCACTATGGTATCAGAGGCCACTCCCTAAACTACCTAAAGTCATGACTCACGAAATCGTAATGACACGATTGCAAACAAACCATACCATGGGTGGGGATAGAACCCGCGCTCAGAGTGTCTCAAAACTCCAGACTGTCGCGTTAGCCACTGGACCAGCTAGCCACAATAAGATTCATCCAACTAGGTATATTTCTACACCATAGGAAGGTTAGCATAGGCACCACTGTGACCACAAATGCAAGTTTTTACAGACAAATCTCCAGCTAGCATGGCCGTGACGAACTCTAGCTCAAGTCCCCACAAAGCCGTTAACATGATTCACGAAATCACAATGGCACAATTGCAAACAAATCATACCACGGGCGGGGAATAGAACCCGCGATCAGAGTCTCAAAACTCCAGACCATCGCGTTAGCCACTGGACCAGCTAGCCACAATAAGATTCGTCTAACTAGGTATATTTCTACACCATAGGAAGGTTAGCATAGGCACCACTGTGACCACAAATGCAAGTTTTTTACAGACGAATCTCCAGCTAGCATGGCCGTGACGAACTCTAGCTCAAGTCCCCTCAAGCCGTTAACATGACTCACGAAATCACAATGACACGATTGCAAACAAATCATACCACAGGCGGGAATAGAACCCATGATCAGGGAGTCTCAAAACTCCAGACCATCGCGTTAGCCACTGGACCAGCTAGCCACAATAAGATTCGTCTAACTAGGTATATTTCTACACCATAGGAAGGTTAGCATAGGCACCACTGTGACCACAAATGCAAGTTTTTACAGACGAACCTCCAGCTAGCGTGGCCGTGACGAACTCTAGCTCAAGTCCCCTCAAAGCCATTAACATGACTCACGAAATTGTGTGGTATGGTTTGTTTGCAATCATGTGTTTACGATTTCGTGAGTCACGTTGACGGCTTTGAGGGGACTTGAACTAGAGTTCATCACGACCACGCTAGCTGGACATTCGTCTGTAAAAACTTGCATTTGTGGTCACAGCGGTGCCTATGCTAACCTTTCTATGGTGTAGAAATATACCTAGCTGGACGAATCTTATTGTGGCTAGCTGGTCCAGTGGCTAACGCGACAGTCTGGAATTTTGAGACTCTCTGATTGCAGGTTCTATCCCCGCCCGTGGTATGCTTTATTTGCAATTGTGTCATTACGATTATGTGGGTCACGTTAATGGCTTTGAGGGGACTTGAGTTAGAGTTCGTCACGGCCACGCTAGCTGGAGATTCGTCCGTAAAAACTTGCATTTGTGGTCACAGTGGTGCCTATGCTAACCTTCCTATGGTGTAGAAATATACCTAGTTGGATGAATCTTATTGTGGCTAGCTGGTCCAGTGGCTAATGCGACGGTCTGGAGTTTTGGAGACTCTCTGATCGCGGGTTCTATCCCCGCCCGTGGTATGGTTTGTTTACCTAAAGTCATACCTTAGTAGCAGAAGTCAATATGTGTACAGAAATGATGCAAACTCTTCTACCCAACCTATCACAGTAGGAGTCCACAGGGAAGTGTCCATGAACCACTCCTCTTTCTCATCTACATCAATGATCTACCAAATGCATCATAGCTACTCAAACCCATATTATTTGCAGATGACACTACATACGTCTTCTTCCACCCAAACCCACTCATACTCGCCAACACTGTCAATGCCGAATTGCAGAAAATACCTGCCTGGATGATGACTAATAAACTTACCCTGAATACTGATAAAACCTATTTCATTCAGTTTGGAAACAAAGCTGCAAATGTTCCACTTAACATAACGCTAAACAGATCACCCGTCACAAGACTTGCAGAGGGAAAATTCCTAGGTATCCACCTTGACAGTAGCCTTAAGTTCCAGACACATATACAACAAATCACAAAGAAAATCTCAAAGACTTTACACGTACTATCAAAGATACAGTACTATGTTCCACAATCAGCTCTCCTGGCACTGTATCATTCACCCATTTACCCTTATCTCACATATGGAATTTGTGCATGGGGATCAACAACATTAAATCACCTAAGACCTCTAATAACCCAGCAAAAGGCAGCAGTCAGAATGATAACAAATTCCCACTCCTGACAGCATACTCCACCAATTTTCAAAAGTCCAAATCTGCTCACCATTAAGAGCATCCATACTTATTCATGTGCCCACTACATATACAGAACATTACACACAAATATATACCCCCCACTCAAACTTCTCCTTACCAACCTTAACAGGACACATGACCATAACACAAGACCCCGTGTCCCTATCACACTGTGTAAAAACTCTATGCACATTAAGGGCCCTAAAATATGGAATTCATTACAAGAAGATACTAAAGTAACCCGGTCTGAAAATCAATTTAAGACTCTTCTCAAAAGACACTTAATCACCCTAGACTAAATGCTCAATACTCAGTACACTATTCCCATACTCAATACGTATTCCCATATCATAATTTCAATTATTACTTTTGAACCTATTATCCATTGTCGACAGGAATATAATTGAATCATTCTTTCGCAAAAAGCATTTTTGAATATATGAATACGTATATCTTTTGTTTTATATAAATTAGATTCACTTATAATTAATAGATCTATTGTACAACTATGATATAATTCTTTAGCGTTAAGTAGTCAGTAAACCAACAATGTTAAGTTGGCCCATAATGCCTAGGCATAATAGAGGCTCTCTTTGCATTGCAACCCATTACTGTAAATACATAATCTCAATGTACTATTTGCAAAGACATAAATAAATAAATAAAATAAATAAAAACATTTACAACTACAGTGGTACCTTGACTTACGAGTGCCCTAACTTACGAGTTTTCCGAGTTACGAGCCGTTACTTGGTAGATTTTTTGCTCTGAGTTGCGAGCCAAAATCCGAGTTATGAGCGAGCTTCAGACGCGCCGCCACTAGCAGGAGATACCAAGGAAATATAAAAAACCTCGATAATAACCAATGTGTAACATTCTTTCAATTTTGTTCCACTGGTAATGTCACCCTGCCAGAATGTTCTATAATATATGCCCTAAGTAAAGAGAAACAATTCTGGAACATGTGTAAAATGTGTTCGGTAGGCTGGCTGGCTGATTTGCTCTGGCTGTCTATTTCTTTCTGTCTGTCTGTATCTATATCCATCTCTGTATCTGTCTCACAGGTACACATAAATACAGTTATACATACTGTAAATTACCTAGGATAACCTAAAAAAAATCCAGACAAAGTGCTATACTATGCTTGTAGATACATGTATAAGGCATAATAAGCATGACTGGCAAGTAATACACATTTTCACTTGTTCAGGAATCAGATGTGACGACTGCATCGTGTGTAATACCTGTTGGTTCATGAGTGGCTCTCTCTCTGAGACAGAGACACAAGTAGAGAGACAGGAAGACAGAAAGACAGATAAGCAGAGACAGAGATAAACATAGACAGAGCTAGACAGACAGACAGACAAACTGATAGAAACAAACATATAGACAGAAACAACCAACATGTTTATGTGTAATAGTGAAAAAATAAAGCCAAGGAAGTGCATGATCATCAAATGTCACTCCACTGCTGCACTGTCAGCAATGAAGTGACACTCATCTTACACCGTGCTTCAAGGCATTTCATATATACTCCAGCATTTCCAAAACATTGCTGGGACCTGGAAAAAAAGGCAAAAATAATTTATTTACAAATAAATTTCTCTTATTTAAAAACCTACAACAAATAAAATTTGGGTGGTTTTTGGGGGGCTGGAATGGATTAATGGTATTTCAATTAATTTCAGTGATGAAAATTGATTTGATATATGAGCAAACTGAGTTACGAGATCGGTCATGGAACGAATTAAACTCGTAAGTCAGGGTACCACTGCATTTCTAAAGGATGCAATCAGTATAATTTCAATAAAAAAATAAAGAACATTAAATTAACAATAATAACAATTACAGTATATGTACAGTGGAACCTCTACTTGCGAGTTTAATCCGTTCCATGACCTTGCTCGCAACTGGATTTGCTCGTTTGCAAAGTCAATTTTCCTCTTTTAAATTAACTGAAATGCAATTAATCCATTCCAGTGGAATTCTGTACTTCAATAATTTTGCTAGTATGAACTCTACGGCTTATTTATCTATCACAGTTCATCTAATATGATATAACAAACAATATAAATCACATAGAAACCTGATATATACTCTAGAATGAATTAAATATATCATTATATATGTGACAGCGTCGGCGGCCAACGAGAGTTTGTCTGGAGACAGGACAAAATACTCCTTGAATATTTCGCTATCATCAACTCTATGGCTTACTTATCTATCACAGTTCATCTAATATGAAATAATAAACAATATAAATAACATAGAAACCTGATATATACTCCAGAATGCATAAAATATATCATTATGTAACAAGTGGAGGCAGCTACAACCACTCCCTCTTTGTTGTGGTAAACACTGCCATCTACTGATGACCTTTTGAAGTTCTCTATTATTATAATTATTATTATGTAGTACATTATTATTATATATGTATTATTATTATACGTATTATATTATTATACTATTATTATTATACGTATTTTTATTATACAGTGGTCCCTCGTTGTTCGTAATTAATCCGTTCCTAGAGCCGTTACTATAAACAAAATTTACGATTTACGAATCAATTTTCCCCATAAGAAATAATGTAAATACAATTAATCCGTTCCTGACACCCAGAAGTATTAAAACAAAAAATTTTTTAACATGAAATATACATGTAGTACATAAACAATACAATGGGAAATGATGAATGAAACATTAACAGCATAACACTTACCTTTATTGGAGATTCTTCTTAGTGTATGGGAGACTGGAGGAGGAGAGAGAGTGGATTGTTTATAGTTTGGAAGGGGAATCCCCTTCCATCAACACCTTGGTACTATTTGCTTTTCTGGGGTTGCTTCTCTTCTCTGTTTCTTAATGCCACTAGGACCACCTTGAGTCACTGGAGTCCTGTCTCACAAAATAACCGTGGAGAGAGCTCTGTTTCTGGCGTCTCTTTAACACTTCCCTAAAACGGCCCAAGACTTTGTCACTGTACATGTTGCCAACCTGGCTTGCAACAACCTTGTTAGGGTGATGTTTCTCCATAAAGCTTTCCATCTTACCCCACAGTAAAAATCTCTTTAATTTCTGAAGAAGGCACCTTCTTCCAACTCTCTTCCTCCTCCTCTGCAGCAAGATTCTGAGCTGCGATGTGTTGCTCTTCCTGCTGAAGCTCTTGCAGCTCCTCAGTGGTGAGCTCTTCATTGTGGTCTTCCACCAATTCTTCCACATCCTCCAAACTCACATCCAACCCCATGGAACTCTCCAGTGCCACAATTGATTTTACAACAGACATAGGCTCATTAGGGTCAGACCCAAATCCTTCAAAATCCCTCTTGTCGACACAATCTAGCCACAATTTTCTATAGGCAGAGTTCAAAGTCCTGGTAGTCACTCCCTCCCAAGCCATACCTATAAGGGTTATGCAGTGGAGGATGCTGAAGTGTTCTCTCCAAAATTCCCTTAGGGTCAAGTGAGTGTCTGTGGTCACAGTCAAGCACCTGTGAAAGATTGCTTTTGTGTAGAGTTTTTTAAAGTTTGCAATAACCTGCTGGTCCATGGGTTGGAGGAGAGGAGTGGTATTCGGGGGCAAGAACTTTACTGTGATGAACCCAAACTCCTCGAAAATTAGGTCATCCAAGTTTGGAGGATGAGCAGGTGCACTGTCCATTACTAGCAGGCACTTGAGATCCAATTTCTTTTCCAGGAGATACTCCTTCACACTAGGGCCAAACACTTCATTGAACCACTCGACGAAAATTTCCCTCGTGACCCATGCCTTACTATTAGATTTCCAAAACACATACAATTTACTCTTCATAACATTGTTTTTCCTCAACACTCTGGGATTTTCAGAATGGTACACTAGTAATGGCTTCACTTTGAAATCCCCACTAGCATTAGCACAGAACATTAGCGTCAGCCTCTCTTTCATAGGCTTGTGTCCTGGCATTGCCTTTTCCTCTTGTGTAATGAAGGTCCTCTTAGGCATTTTCTTCCAAAAGAGGCCTGTTTCGTCACAATTGAACACTTGTTCAGGTTTCAGTCCTTCAGACTCTATGTACTCCTGGAATTCATGCACATATTTTTCAGCCGCCTTGTGGTCCGAACTGGCAGCCTCACCATGCCTTACCACACTGTGTATGCCAGTACGGTTCTTAAATCTCTCAAACCAGCCTTTGCTGGCCTTAAATTCACTCACTTCACCACTATTTGCAGGCAATTTCTTTACCAAATCGTCATGCAACTGCCTAGCCTTTTCACAAATAAACGAAGTCATGAGAGTATCTCCTGCTAATTGTTTCTCATTTATCCACACCAATAATAACTTCTCAACTTCTTCCAGTACTGGTGATCTCATTTTTGTCAGCATAGTTACTCCCTTTGCAACAACAGCATCCTTTATTTCATTTTTCTTGGCCACTATGGAACATAAGGTTGTGTAGGGTTTCTTATACATCCTGGACAGTTCGGCCACACTTGTACCACTTTCATATTGTTCAATGATGGTTTTCTTAAATTCAATCGTATTTCTCACCTTCTTTACCACAGGCTTGGCACTAGGAGCTTTCTTTGGAGCCATGGTAGCTTATTTAGTACTTGCAAGCACTAAAATAAATGGAATATTATGAAATATTTCGCTGGAGCACGTGAGGGGACCTTCGCTCACTGGTAAACAATGCCAAACTGGCTGCCGCCCTGGCTCACGCCGTGGGTACGTGTCCCAGACGAACTACGACTCGCGAGTCAACCTATGAAAAGCGAGTCCATGTTTATACGAAAATACCTCTATGATTGGCGAATTTTACGATTGCCGGGAACTACGAAAAGCGGGGGACCACTGTATATGTTAGTAAATATCACTGCCTCTACCACTGTTTCACCCACTGCCTCTACCACTGCCTCAACTGCTGCCTCACCCACTGCCTTTACCACTGCCTCTACCACTGCCTCAACTGCTGCCTCACCCATTGCCTCTATCACTGCCTCTACCACTGCCTCACCCACTGCCTTTACCACTGCATCTACCACTGCCTCAACTGCTGCCTCACCCACTGCCTCTACCACTGCCTCACCCACTGCCTCTTTAACTGCCTCAACCACTCCAGTCACACTCAATCTACAAGCACCAAATACAATGAATTATTGTGAAATGTTTGGAAGAGCGCGGAGACTAATACTCACTCCAGCATAAACAAAGCCACACTGACGATGCGTCAACCACTTCCTCCACCACTGCTTCAGCCCTCGTATTTTTGTACAATTTCCTTCTTCAATTCTATCGTATTTATTATTATTATTATTATTATTATTATTATTATTATTAGCAGTAGCAGAAATGTTTGATTCTTTGCTGTGTTCAAGAGTAAACACATGATGGCACCTTCCAATACCTGTCCAAATAGCCATTCTAATATGCAGTCATGGATGGGTTTACATAATTTATACTGTAGTTTAATAGCAAATAATGAACAAACAAAACACTCACCACACAGTGGTGGGAGGGCTGGCTGCCAGTTGCAGGGGTTGGAGGGAGGGTAGGAAGGACTCGTGGCAGTAAACTTAACCCTTTGACTGTTTTCAACGTATAAATACATCAAAGAAAGTTTTCGGGAAACTCCCCCGCCTGATACCTCCT